AAGCTTGATGCCATTTGGGTCATTGTGGATCGGCTGACCAAGTCCGCTCATTTTATTCTTGTGTGTACCACTTATTCATCGGAGCGGTTGGCAGAGATTTATATCCGGGAGATCGTCCGTCTGCATGGTATTCCAGTTTCTATCATTTCAGACAGAGGTACTCAGTTTATATCGCGGTTCTGGAGAGCCGTGCAGCAGGAGTTAGGCACTTGGGTGGAGTTGAGCACAATATTTCACCCCCAGACGGATGGACAGTCCGAGCGCACTATCCAGATTCTTGAGGATATGCTCTGTGCGTGTGTGATTGAGTTTGGAGGGTCTTGGGATCATTTCTTGCCATTGGCGGAGTTTGCTTACAACAACAGCTATCAGTCCGGCATTCAGTTGGCGCCGTATGAGGCTTTATATGGTAGGAGGTGTAGATCTCTGGTGGGTTGGTTTGAGCCGGCTGAGGCCAGGCTATTGGGCACAGAGTTGGTTCGGGATGCGTTGGAGAAGGTTAAGATGATTCAGGATAGACTCCGTACAGCTCAGTCCAGACAGAAGAGTTACGCAGACAGGAAGGTTCATGATGTTTCATATATGGTTGGTGAGCGGGTTCTACTTCGGGTTTCGCCTATGAAAGGTGTCATGAGGTTTGGGAAGAAAGGAAAGTTGAGTCCGAGGTTTATTGGCCCTTTTGAGATCTTGAGGCGAGTTGGGGAGGTTGCCTATGAGCTTGCCTTACCTCCCAGTTTGGCCGGGGTTCATCCGGTATTTCATGTTTCGATGCTCCGGAGGTATCACGGTGATCCGTCTCACGTGTTGGATTTCAGTTCAGTCCAGTTGGACAAGGATCTATCCTATGTTGAGGAGCTAGTGGCTATAATGGACAGACAGATCAGAAATTTGAGGTCAAAGAACATTGCTTCAGTGAAGGTTCAGTGGCGGGGTCAGCTGGCCGAGGAGGCGACTTGGGAGACCGAGCGGGACATGTGCAGCCACTACCCTCATCTTTTCACTACTTCAGGTATGTTCTCTATGCTCGTTCGAGGACGAACGAATGTTTAAGTGTAGGAGGATGTGACGACCCGGCCGGTCGTCTTAAGAATTAATGCCCCGATCCCCTATTAACTGCTTCCCCTATGTTCATTTCTGCCATTTTGGTTTGCCGGGACGTTCGGCGTTGAGTTTCGGAGAGTTTTGGGACACAGAGTCCCTAAATGAGAGCTTAAGTGTTGAAAAATGGTCCGTAGTCGGAACCATATGAAGACGACCTCGGAATGGAAATCCAATGGTTCCGTTAGCTCTGTTAGGCGATTTCGGGGTAGGGAGCGTGTTCGGAATGTATTTTGGAAGTCCGTAGCTCATTTAGGCTTGAAATGCCGAAGTTTGAATTTTTGAAGTTTCCGGTCCGATAGTGAGTTTTTGATCCGAGGGTCGGATTGGAATTCCGGAAGTTGCAGTATCTCCGTCATGTCATTTGGGATGTGTGCGCAAAATTTCAAGTCATTTGGACGTGTTTTGGTTAGGTTTTTGATCGAAAGCGTATTTTGATAAAAATTGAAGTTCTTAGGCTCAAATCCTTGTTTAATTCGAGTTTTCGGCGTTGTTTTAGGTGGTTTAAGGATTGGTACAAGTTTGAATGAGGTATTAGGTGTTATTGGTGCTTTTGGTTGAGGTCCCGGGGGCCTCGGGATGATTTTGGGTGGTTAACGGAAGAATTTTTGAAATGTTGCAGCAGCTGGTTTTTCTCTTCTGGTATTTTCGCTTCTGCGGCTTGGGAACCGCAGAAGCGGAGCCGCAGAAGCGGCCACTCAATCGCAGAAGCGGCTTTGCACCCTTCCCTCAGAAACCGCAGAAGCGGTGCTATCCTCGCAGAAGCGGCTCAGGCGTCGCAGATGCGGGCTCCTGTAACTCCTTAGTTTCCGCAGAAGCGGATGTTCCCTCGCAGATGCGGTCCCTACCCTTTTAATGAAAACCGCAGAAGCGGCTCTTGTTCCGCAGAAGCGGTCCCTTGTCCGCAGAAGCGGAAATCCCTGAGCAGATATAAAATTTTCGAGGGTTAGTTTTCATAAGTTAGAAAAATCAAATTGAGCTCGGGGAAGGGCGATTTTTAGAGGGTTTTGAAGAGAAGACTATTGGGTAACGTTTCTTTAATCCCTTCTAGTTATATTTCATCATTTGGTAGTTAAATTCATCATTAAAAATTCGAATTTGGGATCAAAAATTGAAAAATTGGGTGAAACTTCATAAGCTAAACTATTGGGCTTTTGAGTGGGTGTTTGACCTCCGATTTGGGAGATTTTTATATAGTTAGACTCGTGAGAGTACGAGAGTTCTGAAAATGTGAAAATTATTTGATTCCGAGTCGTTGCCCTGAAGGGCATTTTGGTTATTTTACCTAATTTCACGTCGTAGCTTTGAATTTAATCGTAAAAACCAGTTGTTTGCGATGATATTTACGATATGTAATTGAATTGAATAGATTTGGGCCATTTGGAGTCGGATACTCGTGGCAAGGGCGTGATTTCTAGTTGATTTTGAGCCGGTTCGAGGTAAGTAGCTTGTCTAACCTTGTGTGGGGGACCTTTTCCCCTTAGGACATGATATTTGATATTTGAAAGCCTCGTACGTGAGGTGACGAGCGCGTACTTGAGCTAATTGTTGGAAATCCGTTTTTACTTGAAGTATTTAAATTGAGTTTTTTCTTGCTTACCTGTTTATTTTGAATTGTAAGTTTGTCCTATGCTAGTTTAGAGAAGCATGTTTAGTTGACTTACTTGCTTAAGTGTTTAAACTGTCTTGTTGTACTCTGTGGAGCATGTTAGGCTAGGATTTCTATTACTTGTTCTGAGTTTAGCATTTATCCTAATGTGTTGGGTTGTTATTGTGTGTTTTAAATTGGGACTACGGGACGGCATCCCGGGAGATCCCCCTGTACTTGTTATGTTCTGGATTGAGGTGCGGGATACTAAGAGATCCCCGGCACATGTAAATGTAAGATTTGAGGATACCAAGAGATCCCTCGTGTAAATGATGAGGATACCAAGAGATCCTCGGGATACCAAGAGATCCCTAGTGTATATGATGAGGATACCAAGAGATCCTCGGGATACCAAGAGATCCCGGCTATTACTTCCTGTTGTGAGCAGTATTCCTTATATTGTTTTGTTTCTGTTTCCTATTACTGTTTCCCTATTTATCCTGTTTAGATTCTTGCTGTAGACTTTATCTATACTGTTTCCCTTAACCTATTATATATTGTGTTTTACCTCAGTAGGGCCCTGACCTTTCCTCGTCACTACCCAACCGAGGTTAGGCTTGGCACTTACTGAGTGCCGCTGTGGTGTACTCATGCCCTTCCTGCGCATGTTTTTCATGTGCAGATCCAGGTACCTCCACTCAGGCGCACTATCCTTGAGGCGAGGAGATACACGGAGACGTCGAGGTATATCTGCCGCGTCCGCAGACCAGGAGTCTCTATTCTGTTCCAGCTTTAGTACTTAGTTTATCCCCTTTTCTCTCAGTTGTTTAGATATTCTGGAGTTAGAGCAGCGTACTATGTTTCTGTTAGCCTGTGTTTCCCGTGAATTTCCGGGTTTTGGGTTGAGATTTTTGACTTCCGCGATTTATTTTTGAGTTGTATATGCCAGGTGGCACTTATTTACCGTTTTCTTCTAGTTTTGCTTAATTTAATTAAATGTTTCCGCAAGTTATACAAATTTCCGCATTGTTAGGCTTACCTAGTCGTAGGACTAGGTGCCATCACGACATGTTCATGGAGGGTGAACTGGGGTCGTGACACTCCGGGACCATCAAATCACGGGTCCGAGTCCGTTTTTCCAAAATGTTGACCGAAGTCGAACTTATTCATTTTAATATCAAATTTTAGCATTTTTCTCCCAGAATTCATATTTAAGCTTTCCGGCTACGCGCCCGGACTGCGCACGCAAATCGAGGCAACCCTAAATGAGGTTTTCAAGGCCCCGGAAGTACGGAATGGGTAAGAAAACAGGTGATGACCCTTTGGGTCGTCACACCTATGAACCTATTAACTTTAAAAAATGGGGCCCTCTAGGGCCTAAGGCACAAGCTTTCTCCACATAAAGTTGGAGTCGGCCTTGATATATTGGATCTAAGCAAAAGCTAAAGGGAGAAATTCAAAAATAGCAAGATTTACAAGTGGTTGTTCAAAAATAGCCCGGTTTCTAAAGTAATTGAAATTTAGCCACTTTTCATGTGAAGATAAATCTGAACGAAAACATTGTTCAAAATCCGAAAAAATACTCCAGCATAATATACTGGAACTCCAGTCTAATATACTGGAGTTCCAATATAACATACCGGTCCAGCATAGTTTGGAGCACCGGTGCTCCAGTCTCCAATATATTATATCGGAGCCAGCAAAGTATACCGGTCCAGCATAATATGCTGGAAGTTCATACACAGGTGCACCGAACTCCAGTATATTATGCTGGAACGTCTCTGTTGCAACAAAATAGTGGATATTTTTCAATGACTTGGCAAACGCTGGCTATTTTTGAATGAGCAGTCCGAAAACTAACTATCCCGTGCTATTTTTACAAAGCTAAACGGGCAGCTTACATGATAGATCTGCCCCTGCCGGTTTGATGAATGATTAACCAATTCAATATTGAGGAAGAGAAGAAGAGCTGGAGAAACGATTGTCTAACGGAAGTAAAAAGTTAGCATTGTTTAAATGTGGTTAAAAATATAGTTTGGTTCATGAAATATATAAGTGATCAAAATTTATAAGTATATTTTTCGTCATTACTATTNATAGTATATTTTCGTTCATACTATAGTAGAAATAACTACATATATAGTCTAGATATACTATCACTTACCTACTCTTGAAGCTAGTTACAAAAGATATCTACCCCACCAAGGATACAGAGAAAAATTTCTTTTTAAAAAATAAGAAAGAATATAAGAGAAGTGCTACTTGATTAAGGTTTAAAAAAGAAAAAAAAACATAAACGAGTCAGGATCAGCAATGAACCAAAGAGAAATATATGTAATAGAAAAAATTTCTATTACATTTCCCACAATTTTTCCAAGTACGTCTATTGTTACATTCAAACAGCATCTAATGCTTTAAGATTTCTTTCATTGATTACAAGAACATATTTATTGGTTTCAGCACCTCTATATGACAAAAACTATAGTAGCAGCTAGCATAAGGTAGTACATAATTTGGATATTCACGCAGCAAGGACAATCTTCTGCAACTCGTTTCATTCCTTAGTCCAACTAAAGCTTAGACTTCAGTGTTCTCCACTCATCAAATGATATCATCACCTTTCCAATTGCTCTCCTATCTTTGAGTGCAGTAAAGGCAAGATGGGCCTGCCAAAAGCGAACAATAATGTGGCAGTTATCTTGATTCCATTATCAATAAGAACTAAATCCAAGCGCAATGAAAACACATGTACCAATGACATAAATATGTAACTTAGCTTTCGGAAACCTACACTACAGGTGATATTGACATACAGTCATGCATATTCCTAGTTCTACTTAAATATGTAACTTAGCTTTCGAAAACCTACACAACAAGTGATAGTGACATACAGTCATTGATACATGCCGGATGAGCATGCCTAACTATTTCCAAGTCAACATCATAGCATTGGAGTGCTTTAAAGGAGTCAAGATCAAGAAGACTATACTTGTAATAATTGACTAAGCTCCTTAGAATTAACTTAGGGCTATTTGGGTCAATTGTAGCCAAATACCCACTCTAGTATAAATAGCCCTTAAGGCTTTTATTTTAGGTAGACTTGATTAATGATAACCTTTAAGACTTGCAAGTCCCACCCTTTATCCTTTATCTTTTAATTAATGCATTTATATTTATGCCTTTAATTTTTTAATTGCTTTCATTAGTGCTAAATTAGTTTTAGTTGGACTTAATTGCTTAATTACTTTATCCGGGTTTTCAAGAGTTGTCAATCTCTTGAGGGTTTGATAGTTTAGGGTTACAATTGATTGAGTTCATAGTGGTAATTAGACTTCATATCCTAATTGGTTCTTGTTCTTCCAATCAATTGTAGGTCTAGCTCTTATGTTCATAGCTTAGGGTTACAATTGATTGAGTTCATAGAGGTAATTAGGTTTCATATCCTAATTGGTTCTTGTTCTTATATAACCATTTCTAGGTCCAGCTCTTATTTTTGATTCCGCGTGTTTTGCTATATTCGTGTTTTCGATACGATTCCGTATCAGTCATGCATATTCCTAGTTCTACTCTAATTTGTATTTTCTTAAATAACTGTGGTATCTGAGCCAGCTTGCGTGTAACTCGACTAATTCCACGGGATATCTGCTATCTCCCACCAGCAACAGGTACCAGGTAACTCCATCCATAAGGCTTGGACATATGGGAAGAAATCACCTAGTGTTTTTGTCTCCGTCGAGAATTGAACCTCAGACCTCATGGTTCTAACCCACTTCATTGACCACTAACTCTCATAATTCTACTCTAATTTGTAGTATGAGTCGCATTATCATCACCAAAAGAGGGTTGCTTGTTGGAAGTCTCCATTCGTTTGCGCTAGTTTCTATTCTTCCTTTCTTTAACAAGTAAAGATAAAACAGGGAAAGAACACTACAGTTTCCTATTAAATTTGCGAAGGCACGGCGGAAACCACTATGCTACGTTTCCAACAGCATAAAGAATAACTGGCTCCCCAAAGCCCTGGAAAAGTAATTTAGTCGGTTGACCCACGTTTTATGAGGCAGAAAACTACCACATTGAGATCATTAAGTGAACAAAATTTGAAAAAAAGAATTGGGGGAGAAACCAAAGTAACGTCATTAACTACTTCTTTCTGCCTCAAATAAGTTAAAAGGATTTCTCATTTCCGGTTCCTTTAAAAACCAAAAGCTAAACCTGTAAACAAACCGTGAACAACAGTTAACTTCTGTTTCTGTTATGCCCTTTGAACTGACATTGATTGATTTGACCTAAGTTGCTTGGACTCGGGTGCGGATCTCGAATCCTTCATGATCTAAATTTTTAGATTCGGGGGTATGGTCCCAGGTACGGATAATGGTGTGGGAATTCAGCTAGAAATAATTCAAATATTTAAAATAGAGCTATAAAAATATGTCTAAATTATGAGACATTATGTGAAAAACTTCCAAGATATTCCGAGAAGAAGAAAATGTTGATCAAGAGGAGAATCCAAGAAGGAAATAAAAAGAAAGGACTGACGTAAAATATTCTATATACAAGGTATTCCATTTTCTTTAATTTTACCCTAGCTTTTGTTTTGATTTAAAAAATTATTGTATTTGTCCTTAATTTCTCCGTTGATCTTGGTCAAAGTACCCAAAATCGGTTGCCCAGATCCGTTACGGATCCCACACCCACGTCGTGTCGACACTGGCACGACACTGAAAGTGAAGAGTTCGAGCGACTTAGAATTTGACTGACACGTTATTTAGGAATGGAAAATAAAGGGACTTTGTACATTGAGATGTATCTGATAGACCATAAACTATATTTTGAATTTAGAAGATTCGAGCTTTTACATGTGATATAGTACATAATTGCTATTGCACATAACTAAAATTTGGGCCTTGTGTGTTGTAGGGTTAGTGGGACTTTTAGGCCTCATTTGTTATTTTTAAGATTAAGACGTCTGATATCAAGATGTGTATTAAGATTAAGATGTATGAATCTTGATACACATCTGAATATTAAGATGTGTATGAAGATTTGAATACTAAAAAATTAAGTCTGTTTGATTTTTAACATCTGAATGTACAAAATTAATCTTTATTCAAAAATTAATAAACATAAAATTCAAATGAAATACTAATTAATATTATTTCTATCAATGAAATATATAGTGTTTTAAAATATGGTAGTTGCTGGCGGTGATGGCCAACAATGGTGCTCGTGAATACCGACTTGAGGTGGTGGTTGGTGATAATTTTGGTTAACGGTGGTGGTTCGGGGTAGTAGCTAGTGGTGATTTGTAGTGGTGGCGATTATTATTGAGGATGTTGGTGGTGATAGTTAATAATGACAGGTGGTGGTGGTAGTTATGATTGAGGAAGGTGGTGTTGGGTGGTGGTAGCTTATAATGATGGGCAGTGCCAACAATGGTTGTTGATGGTGATGGGGAGGTTAGTTATGGTAGTTGAGGTGAAAGAGTGTTAGTTGTGGTTGAGAATGACGGTGGTGGGAGTGGTGGGGATGGCGGGTGGTGATAGTCGATAATGGTGGCAGCTGTGATTGAGGATGATGGTGGTTGAGTATGGTTGTGGTGGGTGGTATGGTGGTAGTTGATAATGGTGGGTGGTATGGTGGTAGTTGAAAATGAATATGGATGATAGCCTCTTAATGAAATTAAGTTTCTGTTATAGATCTTAACCATACAGACCCATTAAGTGGTTGTGAAGTTAAAAATAAAAACACTTAATTATTAAGATCTGAATAATTAAGATTCAGCCTTTAAAAACAAACGCACTTAATGTCTGAGAACTGAATGATTAAGATTCAGACCTCCATTAAGCGCAAACAAATGAGGCATTAGTCCTTAAGTTCCCAATTATAGCACGTAAATCCCCAATAGTTCTTAACATTTTTATAATTTCTGAGGAACCCGGAAAAACTAATGAGCAATAGCTTACTAAACTTTCTATGGATGTCCTAAGTTATAGGACTGACTCATGCTACCAGTATGACTGACAACCGGACTGTTTAAATTATTGATTTTCCTATTCTTGACAAGAAGTCCCGCATATATGCTACAACTGGAAACTCAGGGAATACAATCACCCTAATTCTTCAACCGGACAAAAGAAAGAAAACAACTTTAGCAGTGGTGTTGCTTAGAGAAGTATGAGACTAGCAAGATCAAGCTTAGTCCTCATTGTCACAACCAATTTCAAGAAATTTTCCGTGTTGAATGGAACTTCATTTGATATTTACTTTTTCTTTTTCAAGAATTTCTTCGTTATTGAAAGCAGAAATATCAAATACTGTAGAAGAAATAATGAGCATCCAGATAAGTCATGTGTTGGTTTACTTTCAGTTCAGAATGGATTCAGTTGAACACTGTTGTCAAGAAGAATATAATTTAACAGTATGTACTTGTGCACCAAGGATTATGTCACTGGCCATGCACAAATGCACCAGACTACCTCTCTCGATATAAGAAGATCCTAGCCACATATTTCTTCTCCATAGTAACCCTACGACCTAGACCTCTAAGTTTCTAGAGGCCATTGTGTTTCTCTCGTGCATGATGATCCAGGATGGACCTTGAATAGCTAGTAATCAAGCATTTAATAGCTTGGCAAGCCCGCATTCTTTAGGATTAATGTTCAGAGCTGGGCACCTTACTTTAGGATTTTAACTATCTTGAAGGTCCGTAAGGATCAGACAGCCTTTTTTTGAATATGAAATGCTAGTCCCTGCACATTACTAGGATCTTTTCTTACTTTTTTCTGGATTTAAAAAGTGATAAATGCCAAAGATTCTTACCTCTGCCAGGCTGAATGTATGAGAAATGTTGATTGTAATCAAACCCTTAGACAACCAGGATAGGAGCTCTTTCAGAGAATCTCCAAGCACATTAGGTTGATATATCTTATGGCTTCCCCAATAGAGTCCGTGAATCGTCCAGTTCTGATGGAAAAAAAAAAGTATAAAAAATGATGGTTATTACTCTCGGACAAAAGAAAATGAATAAGCTTTCTCTTTTTGGGGGCTGGGATGACACAGTAAAGAGAGATAAAAAGAAATGAAAGTCCTTTGCTGCTCATACTGCTTGTATTATGAGACACCTGGATAATTAATAGTAGCTTGTCCATATTATGAAATGAAAGGTGGAGCAAACTTCTCATGCAATAATTTGGGAGCAGCATGTCTTAAAAGAAAATATTTACATGCCTTGACATCCTCTTGTGACAAGAGCGTGAAATTTCTACTCTTTAGATCCTTCAAGATTGGTTTTCCTTTCGTTTTTTTTCCGTTTTTTTTTTTTGAAATAGTGGTACCTACGCCAGCCTTGGGTGCGCCTCGACCATTTCATTGGGTTGCTACCTCCCACCAGCACAGGTACCGAATAACTCTGCCCACCATAGCCTAGGAAGATGGGACGAATTCACGTAGTGTTTTGTCTCTATTGGAATTTGAATGGTCTCCCAAGTTTGCACTCACTTCATTGACCACTAAGCCACACCCTTCAGTGCAAGATCCCTCTAGATTGTTGATTTGAGACTAAGAAATGTTGTTGCTAGCATGTTGCAACATAGTATATGCAATCAGGATTATGGCAAGACAGTCTATATTCTGAGAATGATCTTTTAACTTACTGCTTGAATTCAAATTTCAAACTATTAGTAGGAACTTCAAGGAGCTAGTGTGCCCACCACATGCGTAACTTAGGAGCCTTGGACATGTCTAATTAAGAGCTACTCAATTGACCAGCAACCGGACTAATTAAGCCTGGTACAGTCAACCGACTAGAAGGAAAGAACCAAAAGGGGCTAAAAAGAAAAAGATTGGGGTGCTTAGAAGCAGTACCTTCACCAAAGCAATGTTCGCTGGGATGACAGGTACTTCTCCACTTGCAAATCCAATAACCAGAATTTGCGCTCCCCAATTTAATAGCTTCAAGCTATCTTTTGTAAGCTTCCCGCCGACCGGATCATACAAGACATCAACCCCTTTGAGCTTTCTTGACTTCAGGAAGCCCTTGACACTTTCGATGACGTTTGCATTGCTCAAGTCTACTACATGATCAACTCCTAAAGATTTCAAAAATTGCACCTTTTCATTTCCCCTAAGATTAACAGACAAGGATAACTTTTAGCACAACAACCTTAAAAGAACTTTTTTGTACACTTGAGAATTGAAAAGTACCTAGCAACTGCAATAACTGTTGCTCCACAAACCTTCCCAATTTGTACCGCTGAGAGCCCAACACCTCCAGCCGCTCCAAGTACCATTAACACCTACCATTTGTAAACCAGTATGTCACATGATTCGGGTGTATAATAAATCATGTACCAATGGCCTTACCATTTTATGCCCTAAAGCTCAAGGGAAGGTGACCCTACCTGATTGGGACGCAGCTGTGCTCTATGCACCAGAGCCACATGGGATGTCCCATATGCAACAGGAAGTGCACCCGCTGCCACTAGATCACACCCATCAGGTACTCGAAACCTTCAATTATAAGCTAACTTAAGACATTTTTGAACACTAAAACCATTGAACCAACCCAAAAGTAAGAAAAAAAGCACAAGTCTAGTTTGGCTCATATACAATGTCCATTGACCTATGTCGCGCGAAATCAAGTAAGGGTACACTTCCCATTTTTACCAAATTTTAGGGGCCGCTTGGTTACAAGGACTAGGGAGGTTATCCCAGTATAATATTTGGGATTATCTATCATGGTTATATCCCAGGATTATAATTCTTGGATAACCTGGTTTTGAACCAAACAACCCCTCGTGTATATTGAAAGATATGCACTAGTATCCACGCACACCCCACCCTCCCAGACGGGCCAGACCCTCACTTGTGGGAACTCACTGGTATGTTGTTGTTGTTGTTGCACTAGTATCCAAGCCCTATTACAATAATTTCAATTGTTTAACGTTTAACCAATCAATTAAACATGTACACCTCAAATCGAACTAGTAAAAGTGGACTCTGCTAATCATTTACCCATTCTTCTATTAGGCCCATTTCATTTCAATATAAATGGAGAGTGTCGTCTAAACCACGTAAATCAATTCCAATACTGAAGATAAACTTCGAAAACGAAAACTAAGCTTTCCGCATTTGAATTGTTTAATTATTGTAAAATAAAGCAGAAGAGATTAAGGAACAACTGACAAGCCGGATTGATCGGCAACGATGAATTGAGCAAAGGAGCCAAGTGCAACAAAAGAGCAAACGGGATCACCAATTTTGAACTTAGTAACATTAGGGCCAACGGCATCAACAACGCCGGAGTAATCGGAGCCAGGAATGAAAGGTAAAGGGGGTTCTCTTGGTACTTGCCGAGGACTTGGAGGTAATTTGCGAAATTCAAGCTGGTTGCTTTGACTCGTACTCTAACGGAGGTAGGTGACCCCAAATTAGGGATTGGATGAGAGGTTGAGACATCGAATGGTGAATTTTCTGAGACATTCGGTGGCAGAGTAGGATCGCCGAGTTTTCTTACAAGTAGAGCTTCCATTTTTCACAGTATATCTTTTGTGCATCTACACTCCAGATAAGCTCGGTTTTTGTACTTGTATGGTTGTTTGGTTATTGATAGGGTGTTTGGCCAAGCTTCTTTTTTTTTTTCAAAAGTGGGTTTTTTTGTCAAAAGCATTTTTGGCAAAAAATTGAGGTGTTTGGTCAAGCTTTTGGAAGGAAAAAAGTGCTTTTGAGGAGAAGCAGAAGCAGTTTTGGAGAAGCAGAAAAAAAGTAGCTTCTCTTCAAAAGCACTTTTTTGAGAAGCACTTTTGAGAAAAATACACTTAGAAGCAGTTTTTTAAATCTTGGCCAAACACGAATTGCTGCTCATAAGTGCTTTTTAAACTAATTAGCCAAACACAAACTGTTTCTCACCAACCAAAAGTACTTTTGAGAAAAGCACTTTTAAAAAAAAGCACTTCTCAAAATAAGCTGATTTTTGCAGCTTGACCAAACGAGCTATGAGATTCTATAGCATTTTATCTGTATTTTTGTTTTTCTCTCCACTAGGATAAGAACCCGCGCAATTTGCGGATAATTTGACAAAATATTTTTATTATATAGAAAAGGAAAGATGGTTGACCAAGGGCATATATGTCATTTTATAAAATTTTCATGTTCGCATTTCTTAAATGTAAAATACACGTGGACCCCACATTCCTCTAGCCACAACTCTCCTTTAAATGCACTATGCATGTGTTAATTAGACTATTTGTGCAGTGCAAATGCTCATTTCCAATCTTTTTCTCATTTTGAAAAATTATTAATTTTGTTTATTCAAATAGAAGTTTTCATAGAGAAAATAAAATTAATTTTTAAATAATACACCAACAAAAAGAAGTATCTATGTTTACAAGATTTTCATATTTACCCATACTATCTTAAAGCAATTTGAAAATAAAAATTAAATAATTTTCATCTACCATATTATTTGAAGACCATTTCAAACTAAATATTTTTATATTCAAAAGTAATTTTAAAATATATAGCTTGTTAAACCTCAAAAGTTAATTAACTAAACACCAACAAATAATAATTTTAATAAAATTATAATATTGGGCCCGTATACGGGCCTTTCCTCATCTGGTTAATCTTATAAAATTATGATCTAATATATCATATTAATTTAATAAATATTAGTTGTATTTTATTATTTAATATAGTGTGCAGAAATATATCACAATCTATACAAAATTAAATGATACACATCATATAGTAATCAAATAAATTATTTGTTCCTTTTTATTTTTATTATTGAATTAGCAAGTACTCCCTCCGTTTCAATTTAGATGACACACTTTCCTTATTAGTCCGTTCCAAAAAGAATCACATTTCTATATTGGGAATAATTCATCTTTAAACTTTTCATTACCCATATTAACCTTAATGGGAAGCTTTTACAATCATACCATGAATCTGCTCCCCTTTGTATCCTCCCCACCACATGGGGTAGATTTATGCTCCTTGGAAAATATTAGAGCTGATCGTATCTACTGGTCACTCACTAATAGTGGTACATTTACAGTCAATTCTATGTATAGGGCCTTAGAAAAAATATATACTGACAGTGCAAACACTTGCAATCAACTTAATTGGTCATGGAAACTACCTATACTTCCTAAAGTCAAGTATTTCATTTGGCTTCCTTACCATAACAGATTGCCAACACATCAATTTCTACACAAGTTAAATATTATAACTGAAGCCACTTGCCCCTTTTGCCACGAAGCAGATGAAACTCTGAATCATATCTTTTTTATTATTATTTTATTATTATATAGAAGAGCCAAATGTGGTCAACCAAGGACAAATTTGACATTGTGCTCAACTATAAAAATATTTTCCTATACTTATTCTTTCAATACTCACTCGACACTTCTCTCAACACAATTCTAGAACAATCAGTTCTTTTATCTCTTTTGTTTCAACTTCCAACAATGGAAAAACATCACATTTTCAAGAACAACTTTTTGAGTTTTATCTTAATTTTGCCCAAATTTCTTCCGGTTCTCTTCAGACCTCTGAATTTCACATCTGAAATTCATGGCTTGATGTCCTTCTTATTCTGTCCCCAATTTCACGACTGATGTAAAGATTTTTCGGTTGTAATTCCCAATTTCACGGCTGATCTAAAGGTTTTTCATGTGCCCCTCCCTCGGTTAGCTTCACCCTTTTAGCCGGTGATTTTCCGTTAATTTTTCCTCTTTGTTCATTTTATTGATTCGGTTGTAATTATTTTTTATTTTTGGTGACTATCTGTTCTTATTATTTATTTATATAGAAGAGCCAAATGTGGTCGACCAAGGACAAATTTGACATTTTGCTCAACTATAAAAATATTTTCCTATACTTATTCTTTCAATACTCACTCGACACTTCTCTCAACACAATTCTAGAACATTCAGTTCTTTTATCTCTTTTGTTTCAACTTCCAACAATGGAAAAACATCACATTTTCAAGAACAACTTTTTGAGTTTTATCTTAATTTTGCCCAAATTTCTTCCGGTTCTCTTCAGACCTCTGAATTTCACATCTGAAATTCATGGCTTGATGTCCTTCTTATTCTGTCCCCAATTTCACGACTGATGTAAAGATTTTTCGGTTGTAATTCCCAATTTCACGGCTGATCTAAAGGCTTTTCATGTGCCCCTCCCTCGGTTAGCTTCACCCTTTTAGCCGGTGATTTTCCGTTAATTTTTCCTCTTTGTTCATTTATTGATTCGGTTGTAATTATTTTTTATTTTTGGTGACTCTCTGTTCTTATTATTTTATATGGGTCATTTAACTGAAACAAGACTGTTTTGTAGCAGCTTAAAGTGTTGGGAAGAGATTCGTTCTCGAAAAAGACTGTCCTATTCAAGGCCTTGAGTTTTCACAAGTCTTGCTTTAGTTATTTGCTTGCTGAGATGACCAAGAAGGTAAGTCATTATTTTATCATTTAGTGGAAATACTTTAGACTATAATATTTTTTATCTGGGATTTATCTAACTGCAATAAATACGGTAGGTAACGTTGATGATCCTGACTCAGAGAGAATGACTATTTATGATAAATGGATAATTTCCAGTAGAAGTATCAAAGTAAGCTTCGTATACTCTCTTTTTCTTCATTTCATACCTTTCGTACGATTACATAGATTTTAAGATATGGTGTATGGTGAAGAACTTTGAACAGTTCTTATTTACATATAGATTGGTCAAAGTAAGTTTGGCTGCCATTTCATTTGTTATTCTTGTTTAATTTCTCCCCTGTCACGCAATCCTCAATGTCCTCAAACTCTATTACTAACCAATGCAGAGAGGTGTGATATCTCCTTCAACAGTGCATTACTAAAGGTGCTTTTGTAACACTTTATTTTGTGTATCTGAAATTTGTTTTACACGATCTTTGCTTGGATTAAGACTTTGATTGACTTTTCTATTGTAGAAAATACCTCATAGAGATTCTATAGATGCTAAGATTAGGTAGGCGTAGTTAGGTTACTCAACTAGAGCTAGCTACATCAGACTTCACAAATGCCTAAGTATCTAATCATCTCAGTTTTATACCACATTTATTGTATTGTGCCAACTTTTATTGTGATAAGGAGGAATAATTTCTTAAGAAGTGTGCAACTTTTTAGTTTCTAACGAGATAACATGTATGTGTAGTTTTTAAGGAATTTATAGTGCTGCTACACTACACTTCGTTTTATTTTTTAGAGAAAGTTTAGCGCATTTGGTAGTTTAGAGTTATAATAATCATGTGATTGATTTCTAATATTCTGGTTTTTTTTTTTTGATGAAGTAATGAGTTATATAGAATTTCTAATATTCTGGCTTGGATTACCTCTTTTTGATAATTACACCTTCGAGAATAAATTTGCAAGAAAATATTTTCTTCTTTTTTGCATTCCATATTTCAAAGACGAGTATATATAAATACTGTACTTCAAAATAATTAGTTAGTAATAAGGTAGTTCTATAGTAGGAGGCTAATGAACTGAAGTATTGACAAGAATATTATATAAATATGGCATGTATAGCTGAGAAACCATTCCTTTATGTATATTCTGGAATGTTTGGCTCAAGAGGAACATAATGTATTTTGAGGGGAAGGAAGAGAATATTTTGTTGCTGAAGAATAGATGCATCCATAGTTTAAAATTTTGGTGTAATGCTGATACTTCTAACGATTTTAATGTAATGTTGGAGTTTCTAGATTCCTTACAGCTTTAGAAGGACCCAATCTAGCGCGATACTTTGGAGAAAATATTCATAAGTTCACGTCTTTGGGGTGAATCGATGAATACAATAACACGAAAGGACAAAATTACTAATTGAAAGTCTGAATTGAGCGCACCTGAAGAAGCTCCTCAATGACATCTTCCATAGTAATAACACCGACAACTTCTTGATTGAGAGGGATCTCAGGGATTGGATTATTTTCCAAATCCAAGAGAAAGAGAGAGAGAGAGATTCCATAGGATTATATATAAATACATCTGGGTGCTAAAACTTTTATTCTTTTATGAAAACATGTTGTTCATGTGGGAAATTGTGAAAACACTTTTGAGAGATGAGTTCCTTTTGGATCTAACATTCTATCTTCTTTTTTCCTGAAAATGATTGATTTGAATCATATCTTCAAGGTATTATTCTATGGCTTTGATTATTAATTAATATTGTCATATTAGATATTCAGCCATTGCTTGTCACTTATCAAAGGCGCGCTTAAGCCCTGAAGCGAGGCTCAAAACATATTGAGCGCTTCGCCTCGCTTAGAAGGCACTTTAGTGTTACCATCAAGGCTCTAAGACATACTTTTCCTTGTCAATGAGCGTAATCCTGAAGAGAGACACTAAGCGATTTTCTTCAATTTCTTTGTCCATATTTGGTATTCATGCTTATAGATATTAGTCTTGTACTACACATACATATTTGTTATTTTATCCATTAGCGGCTTTTTTCATTAAAGCCCACGCTTTATTTGTGCTTTGCGCATAAAGCCCCAACAGACCTTAGAGCTTTTTTTGCACTTTTCGCCTTTGATACTGAGAGTATTTCAACAATAATAGCCTTACTTTTATAAATATATATGGCCTGCGAATAGAGCTGTCTTTTGTGGACCATCTCCTATCTCTTTGGAAAAATCTTCCTCAAATAATATGTTGTCTACATTTGAAGGATTCTTATTAGGGGTTGTAAATTTCATACGCCTCCAATATGATTTGGTAGTTTTGTGGCCTTACAATGGTAGTGGCTTCAAAGCATTAAGCTTTCTCTTCCTTTTGGGTTTCACAAGATCAACTGGAGATATAGTGTATGTTAATCTACCTTTTTTTATTAATGTGATAACAGATAGCTGCCAAAGTTCCTCTCTTCGCTGTTAATTCTTTATGCTTTGATGTACTTCTTCTGTTTCTTGTGGTAAAGTTCCTTTATTTGCTACTTTATCTTTATATCACCAGAATTAGCGTGAGATCCTTCTTTATTTGTGTACTCTCTCCTGACAAAAATGCTTGAAATGTTACCTTAGAAAAAGTCTAATGAACCATCATTTGCTGATCTAAAAAGGTTAGATCATGGTTACTCAATCTAGAAATGCTAAGATGTTTATCTAAAATTGGTGTAAAATTCTTGTGTCCTTGTTGTCGGCATAAAATATGATTTTCCTCGATATTAGTTCTTGAATATTGTTTACTTGAAGAGATCTCCTTTTATATTACAGATACCTCATGCATGTTCTTAAATTGAAGTAGATGAATAACGTCATGCAAGTATTCTAAGGCCTGTTAAATAAACTCATTAGCCAATTCATATTGTTTGTTGTTGCATTTTGGAGTAAATATAGTCAACTATAAAATCAAAATATATCATTATTCTCTGTTGTTACTACCACAGTGTGTTCAATTTTTTTTTGTTCGAAAGTTGCTATGAACTGTGGACAGAACAAATGAATAGACGTTTTACTTCGTAGAATATTGATGCCTTTCCTCAAGATACTTCGCATCTCCAAGATAAATATATGTCTCTTTGATTCTGGTTCTATTCGTTGCAATTACTGACAAAATTTTCCCATTTTTATATCGTTTGACAGTGGCAGATAGTGATGAATCATGGGGATAACGCGACATGCCAAACTAGCAGTTTGTCAAGGCTTTCAGTATGAGGGGAATTTGCTGAGTATATTGCCCTTTTTTTTTGCTATCCAATTCTTAATAATAGGATCTAATTATTTGTAATATTAAAGCTTATAATGCAAAAATTAGCGGTTACACTCAACTGTATTTTATGCAATTGCAGTATTAGCATACTTTATATCTTAATGACATTCCAATTCGCTGAAAAATTGATCACTTCAAAATGTAAATGTTGGGCCCGTGCTATCACGGGCTATACCCATCTAGTAACTTGTACAAATGCTAGACTCTACTGGCATAAACTGGGAACGGGGAGGCTTATTAACTCTCTACTACATTTGGACACACCTCAAAAATGGCTATTATATTTAATAAATTACAAAGGCATTAAACTACCATACAACATTAACCCACGTACTTATTTTCCATTAAGCCTTTGGAACATTTGGATCACTCGTAATAGAAACCTTCGTAATAGAAACCTTCACGATGGAATTCATATTAATATAAATATCAATTTGACAACTCAACAAGCCACTGAATTTTCTTACCTAGTTGCATCCTCCCACAAAGTGCCACAAAGGATCATGATGCCTCTTAAATGGATACCACCTGAGCTCAATACTTATAAATTAAATACAGATGGGGCTCATTCAGCAAAATTGAATACTGACGGCATTGGGGCCTAATTAGAAATCATAAAGAGGATTGGATTGTAGGTTTCTCAGGGTACATGCCACGACAATCATCTATTTCAGCGGAGCTACATGCCTTGATACAGGACTTAGAATAGCAATTCAACACAATCTCTCACCACTTTCTATGGAAATTGATGCAAAGGAGGTAATCACCATGCTGCATTGTGACAATATAATACATGCTAACCAACTACTTGATTGCAGGCACCTTTTGCTGAGGCTCAGTAATCCCAGGGTTCAACATGTGTACAGAGAACAAAATCGAGTTGCGGATCAACTAGCTAAAGCAGGACATTTTTTGGAAGCCAACTCTCCAATGCGAGTTTTTGATGCACCACCATCTTTTGTAACACCTCTTTTGGAAGCTGATAAGCATGGACTAACACTTATGAAATCTCTTCCAACAACAACATGTGAATCTGATGATCTACAGGCTAGGACAATGGGGAGAAATAGTGATGAAACACAAAATACGATCATGGAGACTGTTCAACTACTATCAACACCTTTATGTTGTTGTGATGATAATTCCATTAGGAATACCAAAAATAATGTTACTACTACTAGTCTTAACTTAGATTGTAATATGGTGCAACCTGGGCACCTTAGACTCTGTACGCATGAAATTTAATTAATGCTATCTATCTTTCTTACCAAAAAAAAAAAACCTCCGATTGCACCATTTTTTCTAAGCTACGCCCCAACTAATACTGAAAAAGGGCTCGTCATATGAGCCTTTGTTCCAACATGTTCTTTTTACATTATTAGTGTTGTTATAACACCATGTTCTTAGAAACATATTGTCTTAAACGTACATGATAAACAACAGACACCAGTTACACAATGAATACACACAAAAAAACCTTCCTAATGTTGTTTTTTCTCTTTTAATGTGCAAATTGAGGTTCAGTTCTGATTGTCACTGGTGATAGCGATCGGCTTGTTCCACCATGGAACTCTGAAAGACTTTCACGGGCCATTCCTGGATCTTGTCTTGAAATAATCAAGAATTGTGGCCACTTGCCCCATGAAGAAAAGGTGGAAGAATTTGTATCCATTTTTGACAGATTCCTTTAAAGAGTTTTTGGGTTGCGAAAAGAGCCTCATCTGCAACCAGCAACATGAGACTGATATTTTTTCTAGTTCAACTTGGCCGGGATTGACTCATATTGGTGACTGGTGAACATTAAGTTTGAGACAAGAGTTGCCTACTCAAGGTCATATATAGAATTTAAAGGAAAACGTTATAGCTCTTTGTCAATGTTATGAATCCTATGAACACCTATAGGTAGCTGCTAATTTGTGCAGGTAAACATCTATTTCTTTGATCATCCTTGAGACTATGACAAAGTTCTATGATGTAATACAATACATGTATATTGAGACTTGTAAAATTGTACTTCAGTTTATTTCATAGTAGCTGAAACCTCTGCAGTTTTACAAGAAGCCCGTGATTTGCAGCTACAAACTGAAACAACAATAACAACCCAGTAAAATCCCACTAGTGGGGTCTGTGGAGGGTAGTGTGTACGCAGACCTTACCCTTACAAGTGCGGAAAGCATATTAATTTTACAATATCCCATTGTATGCATCATAAGACAATAGATGGTATTCCATCTTCAGAAAGGGGGTTCAAGAGATATGGTGAGAGAGGGATCCGGTAAACCACGAGGAATATCAAAACCATACATGAAATCCTCTCCAAATATCACAGCACCAGCTGGTAATGCCCCAGCACCTACTCCCATTCCAAAACCAGGTCTTGCATTTCGTGCTGCTGCAGTTCCACTTTGTGGCATACTTTAGTAACTAGATGGCGTGTTGTCTGTTCTTGGGTAAAAGTTGAAATGTAACAAACATTAGCAGGTGGAGGTGGTGGTGGTGGTGGAGCAAGATGTGGCTGATAGCTCGGTCCTGTTGCTGGTGCTTAGCTCGTTCCCCCCACCGATGGGTGGGAATAATTTGTAGCACACGGTACTTGACGTGCATATTGGTGATTTGGCTGTGGTTGGTTTCCCTGCAGTTGAGCAGGGGTCAAGGCTTGTTGTTGTGGGTATTCTGGTGCAGGTTTATATCCATTAGCCAAGTTGAAGCCACTGTTGTTATCTGCAAGCTTAAATCCCTCATTGTCACCTAGTAAATCTGATGTCATCACAATAACTCTTCAGTCAAAACTCATAAGAGTATGGTTCTTGGTCCAAAGTATTACTTGAATCAAGGGTCTTTTTCATTAATTCTAAGGGAGCAAAGACAGTCTATTCATGACCTTAATGTGAAAAGCTTGTTAAATATTTATACCTGGGAGTGAACTTGGTTCTTCTCTTTCCTCTGAAATTCGTATCGATACATCAACAAATCCCTGAGGTTTATTCGAGTTGTTTCTCCGCAATTGAAAGCTCCCCACCTTTTCAACAGGCTTTGAAATCTCAGAGTTGTTATTGTACTTGTCCAGAAATTCTTTCAAAATCACAGTAGCTGTTCCCAGGAGCTTTTCTCTAAGAAAAATGGGCTCTCTACTGTAAACTTCAATATGGAGAGCATCTAATTCAGAAGTGTCAACTAACATTGAAAATTTGGTTTTCCAAACAGGATTTGCACTGCGTGAAGAATCAATCTTGGAACAGTACTTGTTGTTTGGATCAATCCATCCAACATCATACCATTGCAGCTTCCACAAAGATGATGTTTGTCGTAACCCCCTGGCAGAAATCAGGCAGACTTCAGTCCATATTTTCCCCATTTCAGGTAAAGCTTTTTGCTTGATTGATACAAATGGTGACAGAATATGTGCTCCTCAAAGGTTCTTTCCTTGATTATAAAAAGAAAAAAATGTACAGTTTTGCATCATAATAAGGCTACCTTACTTTTATGATAAGAAAATACTTTACATTATTTTGAGTTCTGTTAAGAGTAATCTAGGTAGCTTTTCCCCGTATTGCGACTCACAAGTCTATCAGAGGGGGACGGGAATCAGAATGTTAGTCAAAAGTTTGCAACAAAACAACGTTGAAAAATTAACTCAGGGTCCACTCGAAAGTAATTTATCCACCGGTTTACGCCTGTACTGCAATTACAACAATATTCCACGAAAACGGATAATATGGATATTCATATTATCCATGACTTCTTGAATATGATAACCTTTGGAACCCCCAATTTGAATTTCTGCAAATGTAAAAATTAAACGCATTGGTTATCCATTTTTTAAGTGGATAATATGGATCTTATTCATATTTGACTCATTTCTAAGATGTTCATTATTCAATCTATTTTATAGTGGATAATATGGATGAATAACTATAATTTTTTAACACCGCTAGTCTATGTATGATTTTTTTATTTACTGTGAAAATTTACATAGATTCAAAAGGTTTTAGCTTCCAGCTTCTCCACTTTTTCTTGTGTTATGTCTTGCTCCTCTTGACAAGAATATCTCTATTTTAGAAAGTAAAAAGGATCTTTAGGTAACTTATTAAAACCAAAAAGACCAACTGAGATTATTTACAAGTGGTGACATAGGAAACAGTTTGTTCGACGAACTATTAATTCTCTACTTTTTATTATAAAGAAGAATATAGCAATTAGAGGACAATGCTCTATGCAAAAATCACTAGCCCATCCAGAGACCATTTTTCATGTTAGTGAACAAGGGAAAAAGTCTACTCATCTAAGTATCACACAACTATGTAATCATTTATGCATCGACATTTACACTTTAACACTAGCTGAAAGGAATAAAAAGAAGGGGGAAATAAGAGCAAGAGTGTGCTGATGCTAAAGCATATAAACCATTGTCAGCCTTGTTTCAATCTCTCAACAACAATGTGCACTCCTTGGCCTGGTTCTACAATCATCCTATAAGCTGGCGAGTGCTTGTATTTTGGAGAAAGGGAGAAGCGAAACTTGGAAATGATAAGTGAAATCACAATCTTGAGTTCCACCATCGCAAAATTCTTACCTAAGCAGAGGCGAGGACCTAGTCCAAATGGGATATAAACTTGTGGCGATTTACAAGCACCCGAAACTCCATTCTCAAATCTCTCTGGCTTAAATTCATTGGCGTCTCGTCCCCATATCTCAGGGTCACGATGCAGTGTTGGGATCAAAGTCCACAAGCATACACCTTTTGGCACTACAATGCGACCAATCTGTGTATCTTCCAATGCCTCCCTTGACACAAATGCTGCTGGCGGATACAAACGCATCGCTTCTTGAATAACCATTGTCACCTTCATATCAAGTTCTAGTATTAGATGCAAATCAAAATTTTAGAAGACTTTAACTTCTATGCACGTCACCTAAAAAGTAACTACAGGTAACTGTCCATTTATAACAAGTGAGACTTAATAACCTGAAATACATCGATATTGTAAAAATTCTTTATGCAGTCAGTATATACAATTTCAATTGATTTTAGAATGATACAGAAACAACACTTCTTGAATGCCCATTGTCACCTTCTTATATACTGATCGTTGAGACATAAAAGTAATTAAAACTGCAACCTCTCTAACAGTTTAAGTTTTTAGGCCAGATGGTCACGCAGTTCAATACATATTAGTAAATTAGAATGATATGGTTGAGTAGTGAAGGATAAATGTGATGAGTACCATTTTCATTTTGGAGACTGACTCTGCATCTAGGACGCCATCGGGGCAAATTTGAGCCATTTCGTCACGTATACGAGATTGCCATTCTGGATGCAAAGCCAGAAGCATGAGACACCATGATGCAGCAACAGCAGTGGACTCATGACCTGCAAAGTATATGTTCTTGCAATTGTCAACTATGAATTTCCTGGACGAATTCTCGCCTACACTATCGTCGTTGATAGCTCCCTCGAGTATCGAATGCAACAAGTCTTTCTCATTTGACAATGTCTCTAAGAATTCCCTTTTTCTTTCTTTCACTGCTTCCCATATCAATGACTCTATCTCTTTCTCTAAGTTCTCAATCTCCTTTTGCCGCCTACTTGGTAGAAACCTATAACATAGTCCAAATCCCAAATATTTGACGTTTTAGAAAAACACAAACTCGTTTAAGACATACGAAAATCTTAAANCTGCTGAAAAACTTCTCAGTATAACTTCTCAGATCCTCTCCCACGCTGATTTCCGCCATTTTACTCCCTTCCGCTTCAATGTTTTCATCCCATTTTCTTGTCAAAAGCTCAGCTGATTGCAACATCAGGCTCACCATCCCCTGTAAATTCATAGTATTCAAGTTTCATTTTTTCCAATCCAACCATTATTTATTCTATATTGGTACTATTAAGTTTCTGTTTATTTTCTTTTCTTCGTCGATTACCTTGACCTTGTCCATGAAGAATTCGGGCGCTACAATTTTCCTCTGCATGGCCCAAATGTGGCCATTAGACCTCAAAATACCATTACCAAGCATAGGGGCAAGTCTTTTGGTGACATAAGAAGGCTTCCCTAAATCCAGGCTTTTACTTTGGTTCATTTCTTTTACTAGCTCCGGTTGGTTCACGTACAAATGTTGCTTGTTTCCTGTTGTATATGTATATATAGGACCTGCAGTTAATCACACAAGCAAAAAACTCAATACATAAAATAAGGGCGTCAAAAATCAGTTATGCAGATTTTTTCAATTTGAAGTAGGCATTGAGGTTATTAGCCTCGGATAAATGATTTGAATTTTTAACTAACATATGAAATGAAACTTGTCTAACACTAATGGTTAAAATTCATAAAAGAGCTCTTGTCATAACCTAATCCCAAGGCAACTATTGTTCTCTATGGCGTAGTAGAACTCACGGATTTGTCCCTCGGGCTGTGCTATCATCGAGCGCGCCCAAAACGCGCATACCATATGAGTTTGTGTAATATATACCTTATAAAGCTCTTCAATTTCTTTTTCCAGTCGCATGTGGAATGCGCTTAAGGAATCATGTGCACTCCTTCCGAAATTTGTCAATCTAGAAGATTGTTAATCCTTCTCTTTGACCCGCAAAGAAAACAAAGAGGGACATTTTCTTTTAGGAACATGGTTCGTTCATTCACTTGCTCATGAACTTTCAGCTTCGCCTAAAGCAACAGGGGGGTGGGTAAGGCCAACAACTATATGAGAGGTAGTCCACCCTTCGTGTCACAACTCTAATGCAACTATACAAGTACATGCCAAAAGTAGTAACAGTGAAGAAGCACATGTTGTTACACTATTACTGTCCATGTGTTCCCTAAATCTCTATTCTCTAACTCCTACCTCAATTGGGCAACTTGTAAATGAGGAAGGTTGTACTCAATCTTACATGTGTCTTTTAACTATGACCCACCAATCTAGTCAATTGTCACATTGAAAGGAAAGTCTGATTTAATAATATTATAACACCAAAATAGGAAAGGTCCTCAAATTTTGACCTTACATTAGGCAGGTCACTAGACCTACTTTCGACTAGAATTTTTATGGATAAACTTAATTTACACCAACATGAAAATGTAACTCTTCGTAACATATCTAACATGCTAATTGAACATTACAGTAATAAGTTGATATTTTTATTTCAAATATATTTGATCATGTAAAATTTTGCACGCCATATTCTCTTCGATTTGATGTTAATTTCTATCCTACTTTAGCTACAATTCATTACTCCATTAATCTTAGGGATCTGGTGACTAGATCTGTCCGTGGATTAAGGATATCACGTGGCCAGTGGCCAAAATCTGACTTATATTTACTGAAGATATTACATGTACCGCAGCTTGGTCAAAACTTCAGTACAAGCTTCATTAAATTACTGGGATCCATACATTGACTTCCAACCAGTGGATCTTGTTAGAGTTAAAGTTTAATGGTAGTATTTAAATAAGATTTTTTAATTTTTTAAAAATATTTTTAGAATTAAGGAAGAACCCAAAGTACTTTTTGTTAATACGTAGACAGAAATGATGAGAAAAATACGGACAAATGTAGAAGAATGTAAACACAATTTTAAAAAATGCGTAATAAAGGTAAGACATGATAAAATATTTGATATGTTACGTTCTTATATTTCTATCAAAATATGGTTCCTTTTTCTTTCCTCCCGTCCAATCCCGAGAAATACTTAAATGTCTTTAAAATATTTAATATTGGTGGCAATCAATTATAGATCCACAGTATTAAATAATACGATCATCTCATTGTCGTTCGCATATTTTAACATAACAATAATGCAGTCCGCAATTGGAATGGATGTCTAATTCAATCACTATATATAACGCCTCCGATGCCTTCTTAATTATTTCCCCAGGGGGTAAAGTAAATGAAAATGAGTTATATTGCCATCAACCCATATTTTACACAAAGATTATATATATTGTTATAAATAGAATTGTATTTATGGTGAATGTCTATATTTAGAGAGATTCTAGGGTTCATTGCGCTAAGTCACCCTCTCCCTATAAATAGAGGGTTCTATTCTATTGTAATTCATACCAAAATCAATAAGAATTCTCTCTCCCTACTTTCCTTACAATATTCTTCTTCTTCTTTTATTATTTCATAACACGTTATCAGCACGAGACTCTAACCAATTGAGTAGAAGCTTTGGGATTGAGCATAATGATTGTCAATAGTTCTATGAACTTCCTTCATGATTAAATTTTGGATTTAAGGTAAGTATTTTACCGTATTTTTCTCTTTTATTCTATACTTTGATTTTATATACAAGCAAAGACAACAAAGTTTGATTATAACTCTAATGGAGTTTGTAAGAAATTACAACCACCTGAAGTGGTAAAATTTCTATGCCTTGCCATGATGAAATTCATGTATGATTGTGGGCAAACTATTGAAAACACGTCCCATTGAATTTGCTCCATTCTCATTCCCTTAAGAGAATGTGATAGCAGTATGTAATAAGTCTGAAAGAAGACAAAATTATTACTATGAATGTATCAATGGATGTGGACGTGGCAATAGACGAAATTATAATCGTCATCATTGTGATAAGGAGAATAATAAGGATTCTCAAAATAATCTTTCATTTTGTGAATGTAATATTTGTCATTGATTTGACATGAGATTTTATAAAGCGCATATAGATGATTATGGTCCATTCATGATGTGAATGTGACAACATCTGATTTATAAATACATATTCATTCTTGGAAGAATATGAACGCGCTAGTGGTAGTAAATATACCACACTCACCTCTAGAAGGAGGTTTGAGATGATTAAGAAAATAATATCATTATTATGGCATGCATGGTCATTGGTCACGTACCTATTGTACGCCAAAATATTTTGGCATTGTGATTATTAAAAGTCAACGGTAATACAAGAAATAGATCTTGCATATAATTTTGACCATAACCATAATGGTATAACTTTCTCATTAAAAGAGATATTGGGTGTTGATGAATATGTGGTACTACAAAATTAATTGAGAACTCTGCAAGAGCCAATTATACTATTTTGGAGAAACACAATTGATTACCAATAAGGTATTGTGTTGTAGTAAGTCTCAAAGAAACTTATTCAGTTTCCAAAGTATACGCGAAAGCGGTTGATTATATTGAGACTATAAATAAAGGAAAGATTTAATATCTTCTATTACTACAACTTGTAGCGGGATAATATGTATGTGAAAAGCTACCCGCTTTATTCTCCAATTTGTACTACATAAACAAAAGAATAGCACAATGAAGTGGATATTTATTGATATAAAAACCCATATCATAATAAACTTGGAGTTTATTCATAATTGCACACATCATGGTGTAAACCTGAAGTTTATCAATACTGATAATTTATCCAGTTGGCATACTTGGTTTACCATGTTAATTCATGTACGATGTGCAAAAATAATAGAGAATTCACATGGGTAAATATTAAAGAACTAGAAAGTTCTTTACGAATTCTCTTATATTGCTTGTTCTCATTAATTAATAGATCAACTAAAATTGGGATTGAATCCCATGAATGCTGGAAATATCAAAGGTGAATATGGGCCCATTCACCTGCCATGTATACTACAAAAGATGCATCTATGAGATGGTTACATGTGCGATTATTATTAACCCGCAACATGGTGTTTGCGAGGTAACTTGCTCAATAAATTAATTTAGAGCATATTCCAGATTTTCTATTCAAGAAGTTCATCTTGATAAGTTGGTCTANTAATAGACACTCGCCCAGCTATATTTAGTTTAAGCTATTTAGTGTGGCTACTTATATTTATTCTTCAAATTAAATTGTGAAAGAAAGCTGCAAAAGTATGTGATGACAACCATTTTCCTTGTTACTGTATTAAGTATTGAATAATAAGAGATGAATAGAAAAATGCCAAGAGGGCCAAAATTTAATAATCACAAGAAGACATCAATTGGTGCATATGATGAAATCATTCTCGCTAAAGCTTTGGATTTTACTCTTTTTCTTGCTTTTTTTTTTTTCTCTTTCTCTTTTTCTTTTTGGATCTGCAAGTACTACCAATAAGAGATAATAATTCAAACTAGTAGCAAAGATGCCAGCACATCACTCTGATCACAGTTTTTAATGCTTTAAGATCTTTTAGTTCACAGTATATAGCATGCTAACTTAGGGACTATTTTTGCTATATACAAAAATATCTATAATGACTATGCTATTTGTGCTACTGCCTTTTGATAAAAAAAGTTTAATCTTTGTTAGCAAAAAAAAAAAGGAGAGAGAGAGAGAATTAAAGTCCTTCAGCTGCTTAAAAGTTTCTCTATGGAAAGGCTAAGCCTACTCAAGTGCTAACATAATTGTATACAAAATCTTAGTGGAACAAATTGAAGTTTAGTTAAGAATTTCTGTCTTCATTTTTTTCCTCATGATTTTATGCAAGCACTCTCTTATAAAAATAAAGAAAAAATGGACAAAATTTAGAATCCTTTTTCCTTCCATTAAAGACACGATACTTGGTGACAGCCTGGAAGTTTTGAAGTACAGAAACAATCCATTTTTTCCTTTCTTTCAAGCTAATTATTGCTATCTTTCCTTTTTTTCTCTCTTTTTTTTATTTTATTTTGTTTTGGACAGGAAGGTCGGTTATCTTTTCCTTGTTCTTTTTCTTTATGATGTGCATCAGTCACGTGGAATGACGTAAAACTTTCCATCAATCAAGCCCTAAAGTAGAAGAATAAGAAAAAAAGAAGAATCTTCCCGGAAACCAAAGAATGAAAAGGGTCGCACTTCAAAGATGTAACATAGATAATCTATTCTAATATAAGTATTATTGATTATTTTTACGACTCAAACGCATGACTTAAACATCATATAAAGTTAACTTTGCTGTTAATCTAAGGTTCCCAAGAATAAAAGGATGGAGTGTAATAAAAAAGATCTAATTACCGTAGAGTTTTCGCCATTGTTCAAAGTAGGGGAAGAGAGAAGAGGTATAATCATGTGCCACAAATTCATCATAGTTGGCTGGAGCTTTAAGAGAAGCAGCTTGAATCTTCTGCATTTCAGGAACATTTCCATATAAAAGAGATGGTTTAGGTCCATTAATTCCTTGTTTCTGAAGCTTCCATCGAAGTCTTTGAGCTGACTTTAACCACAGAATATTAAATATATAAAAAACTCCAAAACCAAGAACCAGTATAATTAACACCACTGAAGAAACAAAGCTCTTCAAAAAAGTAGAAGAAATTAGAAGAGGAGGAAGAAGGAGGAGGAGGGAGAGTAGCACAAAAGCTGCAGCCTTCATTTTTGGCTTTTCTTGCGCCTTTCTTTGGATACACACTCTATACATAATAAAATAGGTTGCAGTATTGGGGAGAGACTATATATATATATATAACGCTTTGAGATTTTGACAGCCTTTTGTCACCTTATTTGGTTTGTTATTATTGATATGTTATTATTATGAATCACGCTGTAATAAACAGGGATTGGCACTGCGGGCGTGTCATATATAGCACCTTATTCTGTGACGCTCCCTTATAATTAATTAGTTAAATTATCATGAATAATATATATACTATTCCCTCCTGTCCATATTTATTGTCGTGCTTGTTAAGTATATTTGGTCTAAAATAGTTATCATTTTAGAAAATTAAGGTACAATTAATTACTTTTTTTCCTATTTTGCCTTTAGTGTTAAATGTTCTTGAAGTAAAAAACATTGAATACATAGACCTAATGGATTGACTTTGACACCTCATGTGCCTTAATATTGGCACTTTTTAATATGATCATATGCTTTTTAGGGTAGTAATTACTAGGGCAGAATTGAGAGAAAATTTTTAAATTGTTATGAAATATTATTTTGTAGTGGATGTCTATAACTCCTAAAAAAGTTACTCCCACTACTCTTCTCCATTAAGTAGATAACTCTCATTAATTCTCATCATTATAGTTGTAACTCCCACACCTCCATAACCTCCCCATGATCTCAATAGTTAATACCATGTTTATGATATCCCTTTGTATACCTCAATGTCATCCTATAAATAGAGGGTTTGGACATCACATTGTATACACTTGAATACATGGAAGAAATAAGAATCTCTTCTCTCTTGCTCCCTACATTCTTGTCTATTTTCTTGTTTTATATTATTACTTTGAGCTAAGTTTGTAACACGTTATCAGCACGAATTGCTATATTCTTCTTATATTTTCTATATGAGATGAAAGCCTTCCATGGGAGCTACAACCTTGAATCAATTTGGTTGAGCCTGTGAAAATCTATGCATTTTGTATGCCATATCAATCAGTTTGCATCTATATTGTCCAGGGAGTATCATTTTTAATTATTCTATGAATTTTGAATTTGAATTATGTATCAATAATATAGAAACAACAAACTGGTAATAGTAGTTACAATTGTTTACTGCCAGTACGAGCCACCACCACCAAGAACCAAAGATGAATCCATTCCTTTCCATTGAGCAGGCACTAAGAGTATCAAGCTTTAACACTCGAGTGCCATTGTTTTGTTTGATATATCAGAGTATTAAGAAAGTAAGGTACCTGTTTATATACTTACACTATTTATGCGTACACGAGCATTTTGGCATGCATGAGTTTATATTTGTTGAAGCTGATAGGTGGCACTGGTTTAGTAATTTACACCATGAACACAAGTTGGTTGATATAGAATTAGTAGTGTGAATAACATTGTCACGACCCCAACCCCGGTCGTGATGGCGCCCAACACACTGCTAGGCAAGCCCGACCAATTCCAATACTTTAACCATTTATACAACTCACGAATTACTTAACCTGGATGAATTACTAAATCACAATACTGAATATCTGAACTAAAGTTAAAACATGTGGAAAACCCAAGTAGGAATACTACTACACAGCCCGAAGAATCCGGTGTCACAAGTCTGAGCCTCTAATATACGAGTGTCGACCTACTACATAATGTTCTGAAGAAATGCGGAATAAGAATAAATAGGATAGATGGGAAGATCAGGACTGCGGACGTCATACAGCTACCTTGATGCTCCCGGATGTGATGCTCAACAGAGAAAAGTCTCACTCAGCCTCAGTGGGTGCACCTGAATCTGCACACAAGGTGCAGGGAGTAAAGTGAGTACTTCCAACTCAGTGAGTAATAAACATAAATAAAGACTGAGAATAAGAAGTCCTGAATAAGCACAAAGTAGTTCTATAAATACAGCAACTCGAACCCAGCAACATGAAATCAATAAATCAATGAAAACGCTTAAGGAAATACCACAACAGATAAATAAGTAGATGCCAATCAAATATGCAATGCAACACATAAACCGGTACTCTCCAGTACCCGCTGCGGCGTGCAGCCCGCTCCATTTATTTATCGTCGACGGCGCTCACTGGGGGTGTGCAGACTCCGGGAGGGGCCCCTTACGGCCCAAGCGCAATAATAAGCCATCTCGTGGCATCAACCAGGCCCTTGGCCTCATATCAATATCAATACAGTACCGCTGCGGCGCGCAGCCCGATCCATAATCAGTCCAAAATCACATAAGCCCCTCGGGCATATCAATATAGAAATATTCGGCCCAAACTTCCTTTGAAAATATTAATTAAGTTTCAAGTGAGAGAAAAGTGGCTGAGTTTGCAAAACAGTATTAAATACTAGGACTGAGTTCAATTATATGTAAAAATAGTAAGAAACCAGTAAGAGCAATCCCTGAAGGATTCAATAAGTTGGCACAAGGCCCAATCATGACAATTAATCCATTTTTATAAGGAATATCAACTAAGCTTCAATCAATTAGGTAGTAATTTTATTAAGCGAGACGGACCAAGTCACGATCCCCGACGGTGCTCTACCCCACGCC